GAAAGTGAGTGAATCTGGTAGGGATTTGGGTAGTGGTGAAGGTAAGGAAGAGGTGAGTGTGGAATTAGAGCTTTGGGCACGGTGAGAAGGAGGGAGAGATTTTGGTGTTGTGGTTAGGGTTTGAGGTGAAGTAAGGAAGATAATAGAGGTATAGGGTTTTGGGTAGGCTAAGGGTAAGAGAGAGAGATAGGAAGTGGGTTTTGGTTAAGCTAGGGTGAGGGAAGGTAATGGGTTTTGGGTAAGCTAAGGGTGAGGGAGAAAGTAAATTTTGGGTAAGCTAAGGGTGAGGGAGAAAGTAAATTTTGGGTAGGCTAGGAGTGATGGAAGGAAGTGGGTTTCAGGTAGGCTGAGGGTGAGGGCAAGAAGTGGGTTTTGGGTGGGCTAAGATAAGGAAGGTGAGTGGGGTTTTCGGGTTACGGTTTATGAATAGAAATGCTAAGAATTATGGTGGGAAGGAAATGCCATAAAGAAAGGAATAAGCAAAAGGGGGGTCGTCCAGGGAGAAAAAGAGAGAAAAAGAGAGAGGAGGGTTAGTCTTGGAAAACAAGAGAAGGGAAAGGGGAGAGATGGTAGGCCAATGGAGAAAAGTGAGGTAAAAAAAGAGGAAGGAGAGAAATCCATGAGGAAAAAGAAAATAGAGGGAGAGAATATCATGGTTTCACATCACAATGTCACCATTCATGTCAGGCAATGACTTTGAGATAAGATAAAACAAGAGAAAAGAGAAGTAATTTTATATCTTGCTTCGAGGATTGACCTTGATTACTTGCTTGGATGTGCCTTCCTTGAGGGTGAGCTTCGACCCTATTATGAATGTGTTAGGGAGAGAATGAGAGGGAGAGGAAATGGGGAGAGGCTTGGTTTTTTAGAGGAGAAGAGGGAGAAGGGGGCTCAGTTTGGATAGGGGAGGTGGGAGAGCGAGTTTCAGACAAGAGTGAAGGGAGAAGAGAATGAGGGCTTAATTTAGAAAGGGGGATTTTAGTGGGAAAAATTTGGAGGGAGTAGTTGTGAGGAGATGGGGGTAAATTTGAAAAAAAATGGGAGAAATTTGAATTTGAAAAGGGTGGTTTTGGTGATTATGGAAAAACATGAAACCCTAATTTATTTGGAAAAAAAAACAAGGAATCTAGTGGTACAATTGGTTTTGATGAAGTGGCCTTTAGCTCAAGATATTTTAATTTAAAATGGCAAGCTGGTTATGGGTGGTTATGGCCAAAATTTTGACATTAGATCATTTGATAGAAAAAATACATGGAATTCAATTATGCAATTGGTTTTTGTCAAAGTGGGCCCAATCTCAAGATATTTTAGATCAAAGTGTGGGCCCCATCTTAGAAGAAAATCTTTTGAATTTTTAGAAAATTTTTTTGATTTATTTTAATGGATTAAATTAAGTATTTTTAGCTTATATTCACTTCAGTTGAATTTAGGTTTTGATATAAGCTCATTTTAAGTTAATTAGAAGGATTATTTTTTTTTAATATCGGAATTAGTGTCCAAATTATTGTAGGCTTAACGGGCTCCCAAATGAAGCCCGATTTGGGCACGAAGGGATCCATTTAAAAGATTTTTACGATCCATATGCACTCACATTTTTCATTTTGAATAATAATAATTTGTTAAGAAAATTTTATGTGGAATCATTTTTCATGCATGAAAACCCAAAATACAAAATTGTGTGCAAAAAGTGTATACGATCATCTTCAAACTAGTATTCATACTTCTCATATTTCATTGTGAACATCAGGTCACTTATAGAATGAAATTCTGATTACTGAGTTGATATGTGGAGAAAACTATAATTTCAGGGTGCATGAAGCACTATTTATGCACTATTTATGCATAAAAATTTAAAGTGAAAAGTTTTACATAAAACTTGTGCATATAGTCATCAAACTTATTTGCATTATCTTTATATGTGATAATAGAAATCATACAAGTTTCATAATGAAGTTTCAAGCCTACGATAATATATTGAGAAAATAATAATTTTGGTGTGCATGTTGGTTAAAGCTAATTTTTTAGGTTAATTTTAGGGTGTGGCTGAAGTTGGTTATATGTCATTTTTGTTTTGATTTGGTTAATTTCAATTTCTCTTAGTTATATATTAAATTAGGGTTTACTAGAGATTAGCTCAAGTAAGTATTAAGTTATAGCTTAAGCTTAATTCAGTCATCTAGTGCACAAAAGGGAAGTTCTTATGTTCTAATGAAACTCGATATAAGCTGAGAAACGGTTGACTGAAAAATTAGGTCAACAACCCTGCTCAAACATAACTTTTTTTAGCTCAAATCAAACCTTGGTGTGTATTTTTTTCTTTCCTATTTCCACCAAACATTGCAATATGTTTAAGTATAATTTCACTCATATTTATTTATCATTTCTTTGATTATAGTGTCCCAATATATATTAGTATTTTGATTCTTGATACTCATACATTACATGTTCTATTACTGCCACCCTAATATCACCTAAGTATGTGAATCATGTCCTAGCCATTATCAACGCACTCATAAGGAAACCTAATTATCAAAATTTCTCTTATTATCATTTTTACTTCATAGAATTTATCATAATCTTTCTAAGCCCTATGATTGAAAAAATTTTATACTAAACGAAATGAATCATTAATAGTTGAAGCCTCTACCAAAAAGAAAATGTTTAATTTATTATAATTGGGCTTATAAAAGCAAAACTAAAATAGAATATTTTATTAGGTTATATAAAACTAGCTTGGTTGGAATAAGGTTTTTATAATACCATCTTATGAATTATAAGAAAACTTATAATCCCATTTAAAAATGACTATATTCATGCTAAAATTTTTATTCCAATAAAATTTTAATGGCATATTAAGAGGTGGACGTAAAAAATATCTTCTTAATTGGTGAATTTTAAGAAGAGATCTGATGGTTCTCACCTCTAGTATTTCTCATAGATATTACAATGTTTATAAAATTGATGAAGTATTTCATGATCTTAAATGTGCTCCTCATGTGTCATTTGACAAGTTTTCTATTGTTAATGGAACTTCAAGGCTATTTTCTTATGTACTAAAATAGCACTTTCTTCTAATGTGTTCTTATATATTCTAAGTACGCACCTGTTACTCAAGATAATGCTCGTCTTACTAATGCTAAATCTATTGCTACTCTGCCTGAACTCATTATTCATAATTCTTCCATACACGCCACACTTTTAACTTGCAATGTCTTATATCATACAATTCATACTCTTTGCGATCATATGATCCAGAAAGTTAAGATTCAATTTAATACTTGCGTGAATCTGTCTGCACACGTGACAGACCCTGATTGAAGTCCTAATACAAAACTGCATTAAAACTCTTGATGCAATAATTTTTTGAAAGTTAGTAATTAGAAAATAAAAAATTTTGCAATGAACTAAGATTTTAAATTTGGTCTATCCCTGTGCGTTCCTACCATCCATCCTTCCGTTAAAGGGCAATAAATTTCCTACATTCTCAGAAAAAAAGGTTTCCGTTTGAACAACCTTCAACTACTTGCGTATGAAGAGGAATTTGTGTGATGCACGTTTAGAAAATAATTGAAAATGGCATGGTATTTACAAACTATTCTATAACGAAAATTAGTTTAGCTGGATAATTATGCAAAATGAATATATCTTATGTTGTTCTCATCATTTAAAAAATGGGCATTTACATGCAAAGCATAGGAAACATTGTTATTTAGAAAACAATCATCATTTTGTAATTTTTTTTTAATTGTCGCACAATTATTAAAATTCACGATAAAATATCATCCCACATTTTTTATTTTTATCTAAATTTTAATAGCCCGGTCAAGACACATGTAAATAACTAGAGATGGAGCTTGAGCAAGCTCAAACTCGACTCATGTTCCGCTTAATAATATCACAGTCGATGTTTTGCTCGTGTGTCTATTGAGCACAAAAAAAATATTCGTGTTCAGTTTGTTTGCTCAACAAGTCGAACACGAGTTGTTCGCGAACGAGCTGTTTTAACAGCCCTTGTTACGCAACAATAAGATGTTAAGAGTATTTGCGAGATTTAAATCTTATTATTTATATTAACATATTTATTTAAATAGAATTTAATATATTTTTTTTCTATTTTTTAATTAATAATTTAAATTGATTATAAATCATTGTAATTTTATACACAATTAAACTATTTAAAAATAATACTCATCAATTTTTTCTAATCAAAATAAATCAAACATGAAAAAAAAAAATTTATCAATGTTAGATTCATTTATATATGAACGGCAAAAAAAAGTAATGTGCGACTAGAATTGGGTCGAAAATGTAGCGTTCAAAATTAGCACAAAAATCATCCACCAGGAGAGAAAAATATTACATCAGTGCTACGCACGTAACTTGCGTAGCCAATGAAATCACGCCACGACATCCCACGCGACAGGAAAAAAAACGGTGCCGTAACACGGGAAATATTCCCCCCGTGTTATTCATATGTTATTGTGTGTTATTCATGTGTTACTGATGTGCTATTGTGTTATTATATCACGAAGTTTATTCTCAGGACACAATAACACATGAATAACACACAATAACACCAGAATAACACAAGAAATATTCTCGACAGAGAAAAAAACGATGCGGTAACACAAAAAAATATTCTCCTCCATGTTATTCATGGGTTATTGTGTGTTATTCATGTATTATTGATGTGTTATTGTATTATTATAACACAAGGAATATTCTCAGGACACAATAACATATGAATAACACATAATAACACATAAATAACACGGGATGAAATATTCCCTATATTACCGCGCCGTTTTTTTTTCCCGTCTCGTGACACATGAATAACACACAATAACACCAGAATAACACAAGAAATATTCTCGACAGAGAAAAAAACGATGCGGTAACACAAAAAAATATTCTCCTCCATGTTATTCATGGGTTATTGTGTGTTATTCATGTATTATTGATGTGTTATTGTATTATTATAACACAAGGAATATTCTCAGGACACAATAACATATGAATAACACATAATAACACATAAATAACACGGGATGAAATATTCCCTATATTACCGCGCCGTTTTTTTTTCCCGTCTCGTGAGGTGTCGTGGCGTTATTTCATTGGCTACGCACGTTACTCTACGTATGTCGTACTGATGTAATATTTTTTCCATAAAAAGAGAGTGGAATCCGCATATACGAACAGCCGCTATGATATTATGCGGGACCTTTTATTTTTTTTTATTTTTCTCCCTCTGCTAATCTCAGTGGCCGTCAGTGTATGCGGACTCTTACATTCCTTCATATTTAAAACATAAAACTATGCAAGTATAAAAAATTTCTAACTGATGATCTGAATCGGTTCCATGGAACGCCCTATTCTACAGTTCCCAAAAGTTATCCCATTAGCTTGACGAAGAAGATTCTGTACCGCCTCCACCCATTTCTGCTTACCAAATCTATCCGCACAAACAAACACAATGTTCCCTTCGCCAGTTCTCAGACCGAAACTAACTCCAATTTCTTCATCTTTCCTCTCCAACCCACTCCATTCCAGTTCTTCATCATATACATCATGAACAACATCTGAAACAAAAGCTTCAAATTCTTAAAATTTTGAATCTTTAAAAAAACAGAAAATTTCATTCGCAGCACCCAATTCTTATGCATTTACGTATCCCACATCAAAACTTGAATTTTTACAAACCCAACACCTTAACAATGCATGAAAATATGAATTTCACTGCTGCATGCGGTTGAAAAATATGAACTGGGTGTTGGGTTTGTAAAAATGGAGAAATTATTCTATAAGTATGCACCCAGTTTGACATGCGGACTCCAATAGGAGGAGGTTATTATGAGATTATTGACGTGAAACGGTGGCGAATTGGGGAGTTATTTGAGGTTATTACGGGGGTTAATACAAGAGTGGAACCGCAGAGGTTATTGAAGTGAAACCGCTGAGATTATCGGGGGTTAGTGAGGGTTTATTATAGCGTTACAGTTAATGCTCCAATAAACCTTCAATAACTCCCCAATAACTCTTCCAACACACGGTGGGTATTAATCAAGTCCGCACGCAGAGCTGCGTATGTACTCCGTATGAAATAATTTCTCGTAATAAAGAGAGTGTATGATACATAAATGCATAAGAATTGGATGATGTGTGTATGTAAATACAAAAAAAAAAAAAAAAAAAAAAAAAAAAAGGGAAAAATTAAATTTTTAAATCAATTAA